TAATTCAAACCAACTGAAAAAGCATTATTTGCGATCAACTCTAGAATATTATGCATGATTTGTCCGTTTTTGTAATTTTCTCGATTATAATTTACATGGCTTTTGTGTCCAGTTCCATTAAGCCATTAGCTATGCGGGAACCTTTTGTCAGTCTTTGAATACGTTTTGACCAAGGCAGGAATTTTATTTGTAGGTCATTTTAATCATATTGATCGATCTCATTATAGCCATCTGTAGCGGAACCAAGTCATGTGGTCGTGGTCGGAATTTGTCAAAAAGGGATTGTCGTGACTTAAGCATGGCGTTCACGGCAAACTGCAAACTGCAGAAAAGATCACGTGACCCGCTTTTTGGGAGTTTAAACCTTACAGTTTCAACGCGAGAGAGGGTTATTTTGAGTTTGTCATAATCGTGATAAGTCGCTCTTTCCAATGACTACCTAAAGCACAAGGTCAGACACGAAATTCTTAGGTCATTGGTTCAGCTCTGCCGTTAGCCGTTTGCCGTAAACACGATGCTTAAACTCTCTAATGACTGCTGTTACAACGCGGCTAGGAGAGAATGTTACCAATTAAAGTACATAGTCGATTAAAACGACGCTGATAGATAGTAAGTATAAGTCCTTGCTAACTAAAAATCGTTGCCAAAAAACTTTGGACCATAGAATTATTCGTCTCCAGCCAAACATTCCTGCTTTCCTTTTACACGGTTCTCCCCCATAGCCCCCTTTCATCAATGTTGGGTCTTGTTTTGGATGGTTGTGTACTATGTCAACATGCTTAAGTAATGCCCCGAGTAAGAACTAGGGAAGCAAATGGCATAGGAATGCAAGAAGATGCTAATTGTGCATTGTATAATCCATCAATCCCATTGGTTAAAACATGAAAATCTGCTATAATTCCACAATTTAGGGAATTTTCTAATATTTTATTTAATGTCTGTTTTCGCTTTCATGAAAGCTTTCTTTAGCTTCAATATTAAGGCAATTCTATGTGGGGAACATTGCAAATTAGACGCATCTTTTGGCTATTGTTTTGAGTGCTTATGATTGGATAAGAGCTTTTAATACAAAAGAAACTTTGTTTCAAAATAGAGTTTATCCACATTTTATTTCAAAAATGTGTTACCCACAGATGGATACATAATCAGTGTGAAAACCAAGACATTCGTACATGGGGAACTTGCTATGCCGCAGAACAATAGAGAGTTCCCTAGTTCTTTAGCGCATTGTTACTTAATGACAACATTGCATTTAGGGGGTCAGGGGGGATGGAATTGTCTGCGGATGTTGCTTAAAGTGAGAAAACTCGCTGGAATGGTCCAAGGATTTTGTCAACGATTGTAGATTGCAAAGAGCTCTACATATAAAGTATTTTGAGTATTTTTATAGCGATGATCNTCATTAAGGTGAACAGTCACTTAATTTGTTTGGCAGGGAAGAGAGCTTTTAAGGTAAGATTCTAAGATAAATTTTTCGATATTCTCTCAGCAAAATACAATTGAAATTTTAGGCATTTTTGCCGCCATGTAGCAGGACATCTTTCTGGACTGTTCCACAAAGCTTTGTCAAGCCAGGCGAAAACTCTTGCGTTCTCATGTACAGAAAGGCGAATTTTAAAAATCGAATTTAAATCAAGCATTGGACGCCATCCTCTGATATCACTCAATGATGGAACGGCTAAAAGTTTTTTCTTCTTCTTTTGTAGATATTTTCCAATTGAATCGGAGAACATGCTTCGAGTACTATTTCTTGCGAGTGTGACTTTCGCAGTTGCTTGGAGTTCATGTAAGTAAAGTTAGCCAGGTCGACAAGAAAAACGTGTTCTGTAGTGCACCACGTACTGTACGTTTRCGTTTTTGTGGCTACTCATGTCATTAAGATGCTGAAACACTATGTTGCAAATGAAGTAGGTTAGTCCGTAACCATTTTCGGTAAAACTTTGCATTCGTGTCGGATGAATTTCGTGGTTATTTCGTTTATCTTGTCGGTCGATATGAACCAGTCCCACTCCTAGCTCCTTAGAAATGATCAATTTTGCGCTGTTGTAGTTACTTACAAACCGTGCCAAGTGAGCACTGACGCAATGAGACCATGTCTTGGAGGTGATGCCAGCTTTTTGAATTGCATGATGGAAGGATGTTGCTACAGGGACRGAAAATGCTACCACACTCTTCCGCGTAAGTCAGACATCAGATTTCCTACCCATTATATATTATAAACTTATCATAAATTGCCTCTTTATGTCTATCATCATTACCAACCCTCGCAAGTAATTAAGATCCTCGCAAGTAAGCTCCTAATGATAATGATCTYTGTGTGGTCCCCAGTCTTATTAGATCCCACTATAATGAAATAAGAAGAACGTTAAATAATCCCCAA